GGGATCAAGACTGAATTGTATGAAAAGTGCTTAAAAGCTTCTTATTTGAGAATGAGTTTACATACATCAAAACATGGCCTGAGCATCTCCTCTTTGCAGGTAAAGCCCAGACAAGCTCAGTCCATTTCCTCTGTGTGTGAATGTGCGCACGTGTATGTCTGTGCTTTTATAATCGGATTTCAGAGTTGCATTCTCCAGACTGGAAACTCTGAGTGCTCTTTCATAAAGTGCTTATGTAATACTCTCACTCACACCTCGCTGGGCATCGAGCCTCAGTGCAAATTGAAACAAGGCTTTTTTTGTGGATGGGGGGGGGTGTAGGGGCAGAAGAGGTTCATGTGAAATTTGACAGTGCTAAAGTTGTCACAGCTTTGTCGCTATGCAGCCACCTTCAGACTTACCAAGTGTTCAGCTACATGTTAACTTCTTGAATGCTGAATAAAGTTAGAATTCCTTTCTGAGTGTTGCATGTTCTGTGTTTTGTAGGTGGTTGACCCAGAGGGAGGGACCGATCCCCCCGGTAAAGAGGACATCCCTACCTTTGATGAGTGGAAGAAGAAAGTGATGGAGGTGGAAGAGAAGAAAAGTGAGAGAACATTGATCAACTTTCACATACATGCACACATGCATTGCTCATATAACAGGACTCTGTACCATACCACTTAATGCTTAGAAGTTGCTGTTTGTCCACAATAAGAACAAATGCATGTTGTAAATGAATAATGTTCATGCCTTGCCTCTAGCTCTTTGAGACAAGCTGAAAATTGATCATATTTGTTCAGTGTTATGCAAGCGTTTAAAGTGGAATTCCTCCATTTTTGAATTGCATAAAAAGCATTTAATTGCTGTAAAACCTCCCTCAGATAAGGTTATTACATGAAAGTTATGAATATACTGCCTGATGCCCTATTTATGGTGGAGAGGTACACAGATCAGGCATAACATTATGACCACCTCCTTCTTTCTACGCTCATTGTCCATTTCATCAGCCTCACTTACCATATAGGTGCACTTTGTAGTTCTACAATTACAGACTGTAGCAGCAGCAGCACTGCTGTGTCTGATCCACTCAGACCAGCGCAACACACTAACACACCACCACCACACCAGTGTTACTGCAGTGCTGAGAATGATCCACCACCCAAATAATACCTGCTCTGTGAGGGTCCATGGGGGTCCTGACCACTGAAGAACAGGGTAAAAGGGGGCTAACAAAGTACGCAGAGAAACAGATGGACTACAGTCTGTAACTGTAGAACTACAAAGTGCACCTATATAGTAAGAGGAGCTGATAAAATGGACAATGAGCGTAGAAACAAGGATATGGTCATACTGTGATGCCTGATCAGTGTACATGCAGTGTGTTTTAAGACAAAATAGAAAACGTGTTTATATATATTTTGGCTTTACCACTATTTCAGCATTATCAGCATCAGAAGACACTTGTAGTTTGATTAGTGTTCTTGGATCGTAAATAAAATAGCTACATTTGTGTAGTAGACATTGCAACCCCTGGTTCCTATGACCACCATTGTTTAAAAAAATAAAAAAAGGAACCATTTAACATCTGAATGACTTTTGTTCATATCTCAACAACTGAATTGCGCATACATTTTGAAAAATTGGTGGAATTACCCTTTAAATGCACCTACGCCTTCTAATAACTGCATGCTAAAAGCACACATACAGATGCCTTCATAAATGCATCATCTCATGTTTCTCAGTGTACTTGTGCACACATCACACACACACACACACACATCTCACACACATCTCACACACACATCACACACACATCACACACACACATACACAGATTTCCCTTCAGAAGGGCCATTAATAAAGCAGGCAGTGATGCAGCAACTGAGACGGTTAGCTAGGACAAAAACACTGCTCTGGCTAATCTGTTTGACAGAGCAGTGCTCACACTATTTCTCCCCTCTCTCCCTCACTTACTCTGTTCTTCCTTTAACTGTGTATTAATGATTTCTTCTTTGTCTATTATCTCTCTCCATCATGCCTGTTCCTTTTGCTCATCTTCTCCTTCGTCTTAGTTTGTTGGCAGTTTGTGACTGTAGGCCCTCTTTTAGGAAGTGGAGCGTGCACAGTGAATGTTGCATAACCTCATATGCACATGCTCTCGTACACTTGCACACACATACATACATGCTCAGCCTGCTGTAATGGACTAGCCTGGTCCACTGAAGCAGAGACAAGTCTACTTTTAGAGTGATGTTCAGCACAACTGCACAATTTACCTTGTGCAGAGTGCTGATGCTCCTGCAGTATTCATGCATGTGTGTATACAGTACTATGCAAGAGTCAGAGGCCCCCCTTTCCTTCATTACATTTCTAATCTGTATGGCAACTAAGTACATATTGTTCATTTTTCAGTGTAAGAAAAAAATAAGGAAACATTAAGTATAATATATTATCATTGCTTTATTGTCCACTCTCCTTTTGTGCATATCAGTTAATAGTCTTGCATAAATAAGGGAGAAGTCAAAGAAAAAACAGGAGTTCTAAAACGATTCAAAGATATAGAGAAAATGGGACTCCTGACATCTGTGCAAGACCTGGTAGGCCCACCAAAACTGTCACCATCAGATAAACAGTACTGAAAGCTTTCATCTTTGAGAGATAGTATAAAATCAAGCTTCACTCTTGCTTCAGATCAGAAAATCATGTTCATGTTCATCCTTCCAATGTAAGAGGACAGCTCAGGGCTACGAGTCTGAAAGGACATGGATGTCTTTATTGAAAAACAAAAATAGGAAAAAAAAGAAGAAAATTTGCCCTAGAACAGAATATCTGGAATGTGAAGTAATGTTTATGGACTAGTGAGTGTAAATTGCATAAAACACAGAAAATGCAGCCAGCTTGTAGGATTGAAGGTGTGAAAACAGTATAGCTGCAGGTTTCTTTAAAAAACTGAAAACAAGTCCCCTGAAAAGAATGGAAGCTGTAATGAAGGGTGGACATACCCTAGTTGTTGAGTCTTCTTTATGCTTTTTCTCTCCCTGATAAATTAAAAACTTGTACTTAATTTTACTTAAACCTAAGCTTGTTTTTGAATGGAAATTAAATTTATGAAAGGATGGTCTGTGACTGTATTATGACTAGTATTGTAACAGATTTAAAACCAAAGACATTCATGATAATCATGGACTATTCATTAGTTCAGTGCAACTTGAATGTGGCAGGCTGGAACCCCAGCTTTGGGTTGTTCATTTGAGATAATGAAATGGGTCTAGCTTTGCGATTAAAATGAGCAGGACATTTGACTCTGGATTGTTTTTCTTTAGCTAGGAGTGTCTGACCTAGAACATTCTAGAAGAAAAATGGAAAACAAGGCCCCCTCAAATCAGATTAGAGATAAGTGATTGTACATCTGTACAGACTAGCTGCAGTCAGCATGTGCCTCAGCAGGACAGGGCTGTCATTTTAACTATTGTCAAAAACATACTCTGTCAGTCTTTAACCCCCCAGCCTGCCATCTGAGGCCTTTCTGTTGACTTTTAGATGTTCGTACCTGTAGTCAAAGACGGGTGAAATCCCACATCCATGGTGTACACATTCCTGTGCTCTTATCAGGTAGAGATAATGACCACATATGTACATACATAGATGCTGCATGTTACATACATACGTTTTCCTTTCACAGGTTTGTACATGATAGAATCACATTAATGTAGACACCAGCTTTTCTGTCTGGGTCACTTGAATAAACCATTCATTATCTTGAGATGGTCAGTGCTATTATCAAGTAAAGTTTTTAAAATTGTGTTAATTATTACATTAACACCTTCAACCCTATGCTTATTGTTCAGTTATTAATCTTGAGTTATTATTCAATTACTACGATAAATCATTGAGTAGCTGCTGTGAACCTATATGTGAGGCATTTGGTTTTGCGAGTAGATGGAGGTGTGTGCCTCTTTACAAAAAAACCTTAAACCCAAAGAGGTTTAATATCTGTATAGGCCTTTTATCTGATTGCAGATATTTGAGATAATTAAAATTATTTTAGCTCACTTATTTCCCACAGTTGTTGTCTTGTACAATCATGTTTATGTTGCAACAAACAGAGTATAAATTGCATATGTTTTTACCCAATAGGTTGGGGTAAATACAAGTAAAAACAGAGAGCAGAAAACGCCTTTATTTGAGACACGTTATGGGTCTTGCGAAGTGTAAGAAGTTCTAGCTTCTGATTTTGTGCTATGGCACATTTATACGACAGTGGTGAATAATGTTTGTTTAAGTGAACTTGGTCTGTTGGGAGTTGGGAGATTTTAAGTATCAACAGATGGAAAGTAAAATACCAGTTTAGGTTTATGTTTTAATGGTTACATATAATGAATGAAAAACATACATACATACATACATACATACATACATCATCTAAACCGCTTATCCTTCTGGGTCGCAGTGGGGTGCTGGAGCCTATCCCAGCTATCATTGGGCGGAAGGCAGGATACACCCTGGACAGGTCGCCAGTCCATCACAGGGCAGACAGACAGACATACACATTCACACACACACTCACACCTAGGGGCAATTTTAGCGTGTCCAATTAGCGTATTCTGAATGAAAAACAGTTAAATTGTAAATCGCATATATTTTGTATGGCGATCAATCACTGGCTAAAATGTAATGATCGTGAAAGGTCCACAACTGAATTGAAGACGACATAGCACAACAGGTTTTTTTTTGTTTTGCATCTGTTATGTATGTGTTGTCAATTTTTACTATTTGTCTTGAATTTTTAATGTGTAAACTTTAAATGAAACTTTTTTTTTTCCTTGTTTCAGGTCAGTCTTTGCACACTTCATCCAATGGCAGTCCACACCCAGTCAAGAAAGTCCAGAAGAACTTTAAGAATAACTATGCGTCTGTGGAGTGTGGGGCCAAAATCCTTGCAGCCAACAGCGAGGCCAAGGTAGAGACGAGACCCTAATGAGTTGATTCAAGCTATTTAAAATTTCTCTTAATGCACTTCTAGTGGTTTGCTTGTAAGCTGAGTTATAAATCTAACATTACTGGTTTGCTGCCTGTCGCATCGCCATGAGCCATCTATTCATTAAGACTATGTAATATTCCCATCATCTCTTGAATTGCTATTAATTTACATTTTCATTGTTCAGCTTCCTTTTAGACAAGGCTTAAAATAAACCTCAAGTACAAGAGGCGTCGAGGAGAGATGACAGTTCAGACATTTAATGGCATCTCCTCAATGCATGCATAGAAGTACATGTCTGCGGAGCTGTCTGACTTGTTCGTGTTCTTTCCTCTTCTCCAGAGCACTTCTGCTATCCTAATGGAGAATATGGATCTGTACATGCTGAACCCCTGCAGTAATAAGATCTGGTGAGTCACTTAGTCTCAGCCTCAGCACTCCAAGGGAATTAGATTGGCTAGTGATGCACAGATATGTGAACTATGGGCTGATGCTGATATGCGATATTATTAATGTACATATGTGCCGATGCTGATACACAAACATGTATAAAATGTAGAAATTTGAATTATGGAGAAGTTTAACATTTATTTGTAACAATATTTGTTCGTACAATTTTTTTTTTCTGGAGTTCAAAAAGTGCAAAATCAAATTGATTTGAAGTATCATCCAAATCTAAACATCTATACAATACCGAGACTGTTATGATTGCAATGTCATTGTGCCTCACTAGGATGGATTTTGTAGCTACAGTGTAGGGCTGCATGATATGAACAGAATACTTGTATTGCAGATGTATTGTCACATATTGCAGTTGCCTTGCAGTATATTATGCACATGGGTAAAGGTTGGCTTGCATTATTTTAGCCAATAATATTTGTTTTTGTTGGATTATTGAATTTTTTTTTTCTTTCAAAACACACAAACGCTTATCTAGAAGTGTGATTGGCTAGTAAAAGAAAAAAAAAACAGTGTGCTTAGAGAGCTTATTTGTGTATCACAACCTTTCATGATGTCAGTATCACAAAGTCCAGTATTGTGATAACGATGAACAAACAATACACTGTGCAGCCCCCCATTAGAGAGAGTTTTGTTGGTTTTATTGGTTAAATATCTTTGTGTAGAGAGATTTGTGTTATTAACTTGCCCACATCTGCCTCTTTCATCTTTCTTTTTCACAAACGTACACACCCCGCATACCAAACACGTAGCTTTATTGTGAGCTTGCACCAGCTGTTGTTCCATACACACGCGCACCCGCCTGCCCTTGTCTGATAGCACAGCCACTGAAATATCACAAGAACAGGCCAGCAGTAGGGCAGGGCAGCTCTTCAAATGGCAATGGCCTGTGAAAGTGACCTTGTGGTTTTCTCGTTTTCTCATTCTCTCCACCTCCCGCTCTTTGTTTTCCAGGTTTGTCATTGAGCTCTGTGAGCCGATCCAGGTGAAGCAGTTGGACATTGCGAACTTTGAACTCTTTTCCTCCACACCAAAAGACTTCCTGGTGTCTATCAGTGATAGGTATGCTATCATTATTCCCCACCTGTGCTGCATCCTGGAGCCTGAATGTCTTTTCTCACACATTCTCTATGTCACTGATGTTGCCCTGAAGCGCTGTTTGAGCTGGGTTAGTTTAGCCTGGGGAAGTAATATCATTTGTGCTTACCAATAAGGACTGTGAATACAGACAAGTATGAATCTGGAACTGTTCTGGTGTGAATGACCTTCTTTAATTTGCTGAATTCAGTGTTTCTTCTATAATAGTAGTTCCTTTTTTGTGTAGTAGTCCTGTTTAAAGTCATAATAACACTTCATAATAGGGGCACCCCTGTGCTGTGTTCTTAATCTTATTACATACTGTAGTTGTCACATTGATGTGGCCATTTGGGCTGTGATGTTTTAATTCAGGCTATCTGTAATATACTTTGTCTGAGGGGCAGACAATATGACTATATGTTATTGTTATTGTAATAAATTAGATAACAACGTATCTAGGATATAATCAGAAAGTATCACTACTTCTAGAACACTAAACCGCTGCATGTATCATAAAAAAAAATTAGACCGATTAGATCATTGCATTATTAAACTTATTCATTTATTCTTATGATGTTCCCTGAATTTATTTATTTATTTATTTTATTTTTTTTTCCCTTAATCATGTGAACCAGCTAGTCAAGTCCCTTAACAAATGGCATTACAGTTTCACTGTGGTGAAACTGATCTCTCTATGTGAATAACCCACTCATTCATCATAAATGTCCTCCTTCATGCTGTTTCCTATCAGATATCCAACAAATAAGTGGATCAAGCTTGGCACCTTTCATGCCCGAGATGAACGCACAGTGCAGAGTTTTCCTTTGGATGAGCAGCTGTACGCTAAATACGTGAAGGTAAGCCTTATAATGCAGTTTTAGATATAAAAATGAATGTGTGGTATTTGAAACCCTTCCAAACACCCTTATTAGTGCACTACTTTCCATGCAACTGAATGGAAGGTAGAGAATAGGGTGCTGGTAACAGAGGAGGCATTCAGGACACAATGCTGTCCTGCCATTCCCTGAGGGCATTGTTGTGACTGCCCGGTTTGCTTTGTCCACAGCTCAGGTTATTAGAAGATATCAAATACATGCACAATGGCCACAGTGACCTTTCTGTGTGTGTAAGGAAGAGTGAGATGGAGCCTGATTATAGTGGGTGGTAGCAAGTATTTGGGTGACATTTGAAAGTCATATTGACCTGCATGTGCAGTGTAGCTGGGAGGTCATGGTTATGGCCACAGTACACATAATTGTGTTCCTCGTGATTCAGATACAGTGCGATAACATTTTCAATCAGACACAGAGGCACCAAAGAGCAACAAAATATTGTTATGGAGAATAGCGTAAAGCAATTTTTGTGTCATCAGGTACTGGGGCACGTCCATGAAAATAGTCAAAACTTTCTGTTACTTTTTTGTCTCTGTGGGTTTTTTTGTGTGTTAAAGTGAAAAAGGAAAAAAACTGCTTTGTAATACAGATTTTCTTTTCTGTCTGTCTTTCTCTCTCTTCCCTATTACGTTTCCTGCTGTGTTGCTTGGGGGCCGTTTCTTCATAAAAAGGGACTGGCTTTGTGCTTTGTCTTTGATCTGGAGGCTTCTCATCCCACGCTGTGATTCATATTAAATACTTATCTGTGCGTTTTTTTGGTTTTTTTTTTAAATAACAGTTATGAAGCGGTAGATCTTATTTAATTCCCTGACAGTGTGATTTTGGGGCTTGTGCCTTCACGTTCTGCTCTGCCATTGGATACTGTCTATCTGTTATAGGTGTGAAGTTATGTAGCGTTGTTATGACTCTCTTATTCTCTGCTTTGCCTTTCATTTTTCACGCAGGTAATATCACTCTGTTCTGTCCCGAGCTCATATTCCTGTGTGAATACTGTTGCTTATAACGTGGCGAATGAAAACGGAAGAAATGCTTGACTTGCTTGTGGCATGAATCGAGTCTCTCTTTGTTTTGTTTTTTTTTTACTGATTCTTCTTTTTTCTTGTTTTTCTCTCTTTTTCTCTCCCCTGTCTTTCTCTCGCATCAGATGTTCATCAAGTACATGAAGGTTAGCATTCTCCCCTTGTAGATGTTTTTGAATGCACAGTAATGGGAGCTTTGGTGGCAGGGCTCAAGTAGAGTAATGCATGGCAATTTTTTACGCACACAGCCAAACATGCAAACACACATGCTTTTTTTTTGTTAATTTTTTCTGCAACACTGTAGAAACATTCATGCTTTGCAAGTACTTCACTCTGGGTATTTTTGCCTGTCATGGGTAAGGGTGAAAGTGTGCATGTTCTATGGGTTCCTGTTTTCTAACGTTTTATCTGTTTTCTGTTTTTCCTCTCTGCAGGTTGAGCTGCTCTCACATTTTGGATCTGAACATTTCTGCCCTCTTAGTCTGATCAGGTGAGTTTGATCATTTAAACGCATCTGTTTGATCATTACCTTTACTATATATTATGTAGGATATCTGAGTTTTAAACGGCCCAAAATGTAGTTTCAAAATGTAACATCCTGTTGACGATATAAAGAGAGTTTCAGGCGGGACTGTTTTTCAAATGAGGCACAAAACAGGGCAGCCAATCACAACAGAGAGTCATAAAGGCACAGTAACAAAAACTTGTTGTTTTTGCACAAACTCATTGAAATAGGAAGAAAAAACAAGAAAAATGTAGGATATTTGGGTAGACTGGTGTTTCGCATAGTGAAGGTGATTTAAGTTTAGAGAGGATTAAAAAAAAGATGCTATTGAATGCAAAATACACTTCCTTTCAGATATTTTTCATTTTTGATGTCTGTCTTCCTTATTACCTTGTTGTAAAGGTTTTAGAAGTTTTTAGAAGAGCTAGAGGTGTGAGTCAAGTTCGTTTCTCCTGTAAATGTTGGTCTGTGCCGTTTGCCTTGGCAGAAAAGTGACTGTGGGTTAGAGGCCTGTGAAGGGGCCAAACCTGTCCCACAGCAAGAGGAACGTACACACACACTTCTCTTAATCAAGCAATTCCTTTATGTGCTGAGGGAGAGCAGGCATGAAACAGCCAGCGAGAGATGGAAAGGGGGTGGGGGATGACAAAAGCTCCGGTAATGACCCATGTCTGCATCAGGGCTCTAGTTACAAGCTCTTGGACCTCGCTCCTGTTTCACTGCTCCTGGACTTCCATTTTTTTAGAACACTGTACTTAGTTTGAGAGATTTTCAGAGAGTTTTCAACTTAGTATCAAAAATCTCATTGTCTTTTATTAAATACAACTGATGCTTCTACGTTGTGTGTTTGGTGGCTATTTGTGTGGTCTCTCCAGTCTCTGATGCCCTTTCTCTCTTATTTGCATTCTTTACTGAACTAAATTTATAACCCTTAGAATGCCTCATTCTGGGTAGCAGGTTATGGTGGAAGCAGCTATAAAAATCCTACAGATAACCTCTAAGACCTTAATCAGTCTTTTAGAAAAGAGATATATAAACCTTGTAGTGTTTGAGTTTTGAGGCCCTGCTGGTGGTGACATAAGCTATTTATCAGCTTGTAGTCATGTGTTGTGATGGTTACAGCCTGTTTGTTTAAGATAAAATGTGGAACACTATGTAATTTCCCCATATGTAGTGTTTTTCCCCACTTGCTTGCTGTTTTGGACATCTACCCTGTCTCTGTCCTTTCTGCCTTTCCACATCGTCTCCTCATGCTTATCCCCTAACTTCTATCTCTATTTTGTGTTTTTTCTGGCTCTTAGGGTGTTTGGCACCAGTATGGTCGAGGAGTATGATGAGATAGCTGACTCCCAGTATCCCTCAGAGAGGGTCGAGTACCTGGACGAGGACTATGGTATGACGGCCTTTTCTTTTCCTCGGTGTTATATTGAGTATGTATGTACAGGATAGACTGACAAGTACATTCGCACTACGTACTTAAAAGGTATAGTGAAAAACATTGCTGTTGTAATTTTTACTTCACACTGTTCAGTGCTACGAACGATTGGCAGAATTCTTTATTTCTTTATTTAATTTTTTTTTTAATTGCTCTCATCACCTGTTTACTTCAGTCCTGTGCTGCTGCCACAGTCCCCCAGGCAGGACCACTGCCTGTCTCCTTAAGCAAGTAGTTTGGCAAATTTGTCTATGAAGTGGATAGCTATGCTTTTTTCATGTGACATAATGAAACAACAAATGCACGAGTCTAATGCAACACAATACAAGCTAACCTTGTGAACATGTTCACTACTGAAGAGGCTGTTCAGTTCAATCATTCCTCAAAAGAGTTTAATAACATTGAGGTTAATAACTGTCTCATCACATTGATTTGTCAGTCTACTCAGGCATCTGCTGTAACTTCAGTGTCTGTAAAGAAGCTGTTCTTTTTTTTTTAAAGTCTAACGAGTTTGTTTGCAACGTGTGCTGATTTTTAAAATAGTTAAAATCATGTTTTGATGTTTCTTTTAAAGATGTGTATTTTTTTAGTAAGTGGCCATTCTAAAAGTATTCTTCTGAAAGTTTAGAAGGTAACCGTATTCTGAATGCTGCCTTTAAAAAATGTAACCTGGACTGAATACAGATATTTATTTAATGTCTGTATTGTAAATCTGTATCCCCAATATTCGTATTCCATCATATCCATTATAACCCTGCTGACTGTATGATTATATATTGGCTCATAATATTGAGGTCTTGCAAATTTATCAGTATCAGCCTTAATGAATGGATAGTTCTGATGTGGTTTCATGCTTGCATTTTCATAGAGACTGCTGTACATATAGTATACCATATGCTCAGATCCTATACAGCAAAACAGGTTGAACTGGTAAATTTAAATGCGAAATACCATCATGGATAAAATAACAAAAGCATATTAGGCATGAGGGTGAGATGTTATAATCTTTTTTATGAAGAGAACTACTGGGGAAAAAAAAAAGGGTAAAGAGTTTTGAGAAGCTCCGCCCAGTGTTTCAGTATCCCTGTTATTTAAGACTTCTGCTGTTTAAATTTTAGAAATGTGACAGTTGAACACTGTTATATTTGACAGTTCACAGTAGACAATTGACAATCATATCAGTCACTAAAGTGAATATTTGACCATATTTAACTGCACTGGTGGATATAATTGTAAAAGAATTTATATAATTATATATAATATACTTGCATATAAAGAATTATTCCTTAAAATTGGTGTCGGTTAACATTTTAACATCTATTGGACCCTAATGTAGAAAGAGAATGCATTTTGCGTTTGGTAAACAGGAAACTGCTCTCTTATTCACTAGACCATAAGCTGTATACGTTTTCCTTGATTCATCTCTGTGTTTACATGTTATGTCAGTGGTTGCTGTGCGTGTCCATTAGCTAATGTACTGAAGCTGTTCTCTTAACTCCAGACCTCCATTTCTTAGATTACCCACCGGGCTACCTTCCGTCTGAAGACAAGCCTTCAAAGAACCTCCTGGGTTCTGCCACAAGTACGTACCGCATAACTTCCTGACTTTTTTCTTTGTCGCAGCTTCAGTTGCTTCCAGCATATTACAATGCCTTATTTCATATTATACTCCCTGACTGATACTCAGCTTTGGAGAATGTTGAAAGTTTCTTGACCGTGGACTGTGAAGTCTTCCACTTGTATATTTATAAGAACAACTGAACAGTGTAGCTCTCCACCATGAGCTCACATTCTCAGTATCTTTAAAGGCCATAATGGAAAACCTGGGTATAAATAATGGGGATTACATTTAAAGGTCCAGCACCTATCTCCAAATAATGTCTGAAGACACTTGTGTTAGCTTTTGTTACTCTTTGGATTAGGAGTTGGATTGGTTTACATGGCAGTGTCTTAAACAGTAACTATATAAGGCCTGGAAGGATAGGTGAGGGAATTATTCAGGTATACATCCAGCCTGGTGGAATTTTATTAGCATGTGATATGCTGAGACAGTATTATGTCAGACATCCAGGAATGTAACGTTCCCCCCGAAAGTTTCTTTCTGAACGTCTCATCCAGTTTAGCTTGGATATTTTAGTGGTTCTCTGTTCCCTTCTTGAGCAGGATGCACAGTGTTTGTCTGTTCCCCAATGACGCAAGAAACAAGCATGGCAATGTGAACGCACACACACGCAAACTTTACTATTTCCATGTGTTGACATGGGTCCTCTGTGCTAGGGGAGGCTCTATGCTGGCAGAAGAGCTGCAATCCTGTTAGCTTAAAACAGGCCCCCATGGTCAGTTAACTACCAGCTATCTGAAAATGCATGTACACACCACAAACACGCAGGGTCTCTGTGGACCCAGGCCTCTGGTTTGACTCTTTCTGTGGAAGCTACAGTTAAAGATACAGTCCATGTGGATAGATATGTACATTTTTGAGCTGTTTTAACATGATTTATATTAGTAAGAGTTAGATTCTTAGTTGTGTTTCAGGTATTTGATTTCCTGTGCTTGATTTTCCTCTTCAGATGCCATTCTCACCATGGTCAACAACATTGCTGCTAATGTTCTAGGTGGGAAGCCAGAGCTTGAGGATGGAGCTCCGATGGAAGGTACATTGTTTTGTTCTTTTTTAACCACTTAAACTGTAAATGCCTGTATGTGGGTTCGTATTTCAATTCCTCACTCTGATGACTACTGTGATGTCAGCCCGGCGAGGGGCTGAGTCTCACTGGCTGGGACGATAAATGTGAACCCAGGAGCACACACACACACAAACCAGCATGGGTGCAAAAAGCAAAGTTTTCATTTGTAGTGAAACCCTAACACTGTAAAATTAACAAACATTGCCTAGGACACTTGGACATGTAGACATCTAGCCAAGGTTCTCTCTTTATCTAGTGTGTTCTCACTGGTGCACAGTGTGACAGGGTTGAGACCCTCTGAGAACTGCTTCCAAACCAACTCTGGAGCGGTTTGTTTCAAGTGTGAACACAATATGGACTGAAAATGTCTAAATGGACCAAACACCAACTGATCATCTCCTCTCTACATACCGTCTTAGGGTCCTGCAACAGATCCAGTTTCTGGAGCTGTTTTGACGTGCATGTGTTTATCAGCTCTTCATGAATTTTAGAATAGATAGATTCATTTTTAAAATGAGGCAGGTGCACATTTAGAGCTCTAGAAAACATATTATACACTGGTGTTACTGCCATATTAATACCCATATCAGTTATAAGTTTTCAGTGTTTTATAAAGGCAGAAAGCCATCTGAGAGCTTCTGTTTTCACAGTGCTTCTACAGGATGTTTACATTATTGCATTGTTTGGTTCGATGTCAAACATGTCAGTCTGAACTTAGTGTTCCAGAAATTAATATACAGTGATGTGTCATTTTCTGCTTTGAACCAGGCCAAAGGAACCCAGCTACACACATATAAATGGACCCTTAAAGAGACCTAGCTCCATCTGAGCAGCAGAACCGCCATTAGAACCCCATGTTAGTACAAATGGCTCCTTTACTGATTAGAGACACTTCAAAATCAGAGGAAAAGCCCTCTGCATCGACATGAAGTTTTAGACAGAAGTAGTTTTTCTAGCAGTTACTGAACAATATATATTAGTTAGTGAATAATAAATCTTCAGATTAATCACTGAATAATAATCCGTGAGTCTAATGGGTTAAGCTTCACACGACCCCCTGTAGTGGTCCCCCACTGTTGAAGTCTGACCTCTGAAGTTTGCCATATGGCTATAAAGACTAGTGGAATACTCTGCTGTGCAGTCTCTCTCTCGCTCTTTCTTTCCCTCTCTCTCTGGCTTACAGCTGTGTGTGAAGGGTGGGGTTGTTGCTGTGCCAACTCTGCTGGAGCTCACAGGACTGGCAGTAAAGAGTGTGTTTGAGAAGTAGGGGAGCTTGCCAGGGTGAAGCTCTCTCATGTTGAAGATGTGGCATTTTTAATGCAGCTTAAAATGCCTGAAAGCCCCGCTAAATGCAGCTTAAAGACTTGGTACTGTGATCACTTTCTGAAATGATGGTGTATATTAGCTATAGCTGTAATTGTGGTTTCAAATTGGTACGTAGTGGTTAATGAAAACACTGCATTATCACCTCAACAGGTTTGTCTCAAAGTAGCCTCTTTTGGTTTCAAATAAATGCTAGATTAATCTTTATAGATGTCATTAACTGTTCACTGCAAGCAAAGTAATTCTTGAGTCTGAGAGCTAGGCATGATATTTGCTTTTCCAAGAGTTGGTCTTTCATAATGCAATACTTCACCCCTCTCACTGGGCAAACAAGCTTAATGCCAGGAGGCTTTTGAAAAACAAACCTGCCTCGCTGCCTGAGGTGATTAGTTAGAGAATTCGCTCATGCGGAATACATTTTGGTTTAACTGACAAGGCATGACTCATAAAATTGGCCTGGAGTGACCCGGAAGTTTGTCAGTTGTGCTGTTTGTGACTGATGAAGCTGAAGCATATTTTTTTTTTTTATCGTTGTCCCAATATTAGTGTCCAAGTTGAACACATGATGACAGCTCAAATCATGTTACACATGTGCAGTGAGAGAGTGACAGAATTAGATTGGTGGGAATTTAGTGTTAGCGGTTGTGTCTAATAATAGAGCGGTAGTGTGTTCCCCTGAGCCAGGCTTGAATCCCAGCATCCCATGTGTAAAGTGAGTGACTTAACCACTCTGCTACAGAACCAATTTTGAAGCAGCCCTGTGATGTAAGGTACCCCTTACACATCACCACATATAGACTAATCGTATATACTTACCGGTACTTACCTGAGGACTGATCTTCCTTGCCTGTAAGGAGCAAAAGAGAATTGAATGGGTTCACCTGTGTTTTACTTACCTGGGTGAGTCCATCCTCTGTAGAGGAGGAGGGAAGTACAAAACCTGTATGAGAGAAAGAAAATGGTGTTTAATAAGTGTACACTGAATTGTAAATGTATATAAATGACGTCATGAATGTTAATGTGAACAGTAAGTGAAGAACATGAATTATATTTACTGTCGCATGTAAATATATTTAAATATTTGAAGCTCTTGTTTTAACCCAGGCCAGTAATGGTTTATTCCAGGGGAGGAGCACCCTGTATATAAGCAGCATTACTTGGGGGGTACAGGGGGAGTCTTCTTTCAGCTCAGTAGATGACTGATGGTAATGAGTGTAGGAGATCTGTATGACTTCGCAGTCATTGATCTGTCGTCTAGTGGTAGAGACTATTATTTTCGTTTTGTTTTTCGTTTGAGTGTGCGCGCGTGTAAATATGTATATACCTATGAGTGTTGGTGTGTAAACAAAGCTGACGGGGAGAAGAACTCTTGTGCCAACTGAACTTTTTCCAGTTTCTCAGACCGTTTGCCCGACACTACCCATAAAGTGTGTCCACTACTACAGCATACTGCTGGGTCGAGGGATACGCTTTATCACAACACCCAAGTGCACAGCTCAGAATATACTCTAGCCTTAACTACTAGCCTTTAAACATGATAATTATCAACTTCCATGTTGTGTGTAAATTGTGTGAAGCAGTAATGGCTGCTGTCACAACAAACCTAAATCACCATGAAGATCTTTTTAAAGGAATTAAATATATATTCATTCATTTTTGTAGGCCTATACAGAAAATAGCAAGTATATGTTTTTGTAGGCCTATATAGAAAAGCTGCTCCGAGAACGCTGGCTGTTTTTTATAACCGCCTTACAATGCACACAAAATTGCAGTTGTGATGCAAGTTGCACTTGGCACAATAGTGAGTGGTGCTTTTGTTTGTTTTTCCTAGGGCTGCACCATATGGACTTAAAATGTGATGTACAGTGTCATTGAGCTGGAGATCACGATGCCTGTATGAGACACAATAAATTATTATTAAAATAGTGTTCGTCTGTTTTTTTTTTTCTTTTATGGAAACAGAAATCTAACTAACATCTACTTTAAGCAAATATAGAAAAAATATAGGTTATACAGGAAATTAAGTTAAAGGTTAAGTTAAGAAAGCAGGGATCAAGCCCAGCAGAGAAGCACTTGCTGGGCTTTTAACGCTACATCCTGCCGATCTAATTACATTACTTCGGCGCTGTGCTTGAGGTAATTTGATCTGTTCTGTCATCATAGTTTTAACAAAGTGTTAATTGTGGAATTTTCTATCACAATAAAAAATGAAATGTATCATGTAGCTCTAGTTTTTAGAACAACATTTCTGGTTAATTACAGAGGAAAAAGGTCTGTACTTGTTTCACACGCAGACGTATTTTAATCATCGTCAATTGTTTCAACAGCTTTATTGAAATTTATTGCAGTTTATGTCTGTATCATGCAGCCCTACAAAGCATGTTTGAAAGCTTCATCTTTGCTGTCCTACATTTGCGTCAGTATCAAAGAAGAACGACCACAAGTTTTCTTAGTCACAGTCCTCTTGCACTGTTTTCATACATTTAGGTACAGTTAGTGTCTGAGTTTTAGTTGAGGTAGAGTGTGTGAGAGGGGGTTATTGGCTAGTGGAGGGTACTTTTTCTTGATAAACAGTGAGAGTCTTTGTGTGAGGGAGAGTTGAGTTTAGCTGAGGGGGGTGTGGGGGTTTGGCTAAACTCAGCTGTGGGTTGTGCCTCTGACGCACGTCTCTCTCTCTCTCTCGCTCTCTTGCTCTCGCTCTCTCTCCTTTCTCTGTTCTTCATCTCAGCTTAGGCGCTGCAGGCGGCTGTCTTTTCCATTTCCCCCTCTTTTTATTACATTACTCTTCCTTTTGTCTAAGTGGTCTTTTTCCTCTCCTCATGTATAATAGACATTGTGTTTGCCTCCTTGTAGGGAATACATCTTCAGGGACGGAAAACGTCACAGGAGTGTCAACAGAGACCCTAGTCGCACCAACACCCACCCCCATAGAGCAACAAGCAATGTATGTTGTACACACACACACACATACTCCTTTTCATTCAGTGTTACCGCTTGCTCAATATTCAGCCCTCAGGTACAGTCCTTTTCTAGCTCAAACTGGTTTGTACTGTTTGCTCACATTCCATGCCAACCCATTAGCCACAACTTTAAAAATAAAGTCAACTTCCTACTGTTTCTTTTAGATGCGAAGGTTCATCGTCTGTCAAAAGTTTGAAGATACCTATTTTTGCAACATGCTATTAAATGAGCATGTCTTCTTTTTTAATTTGCCGTAAAGGATCCATATCCAAAATTTTTCTTGTATGTTATTTTGCCCCTTGAGGTCCACATACCATTTGTGTGGTTTTTGTATTAAAAACTGTCCTAATTCATTTTTTCCGTGAACAATTCTAACCTTTCCTTTTCCCTTAAAATTAAACAGGCTGTTTTTGCTACTGTGCCTTTAAGAATGATCTATATAAATGAGTTCTGTTCTGACTGACTGTCCTGTATTGTGCCTAATTCAAAAAGCGTTAATAGGCAGAACTAAACTGCTGTAGGCTGAATAGGCGGATGTATGCTAATGAGTTTGTTCTTGCGACATCACAGTAAACAGTGAATTCAGAACAGGCTGTTTTTGCATTTTCCATATATGAACTGTATTGGCTGAGGAGTGAATTGCATGTCTTAAAACTAACAGTGGTACATAAATACTACACTTTTGTTTAAAGAAAACAAAAGAAATTTGTTTTTTCGTGATGTGTCCTTTAAATAGCTGCTTTTCCTTGTAAAATTGCAAAACTAAAGTAACAATTTCTAAAAGTACTATTTTGGAAAAAATGCCATATCATGTATTTTGTGTGATATCAGAACTCATCAGGGCTCAAACCATGTAAATGTTTAACCACCTTGGTAGCAAAAAAATTTCAATATATGCTTTTAACAGTAGTTCTGAAAAGAAATCTGCCCAGTTGTTATTTATGCAAAACCTATTCTTCACCCCAAAAAAGACACTTTGATGAACTTGCAAACTTTATTCGAGGTAATAATAAATACCTGCTTTATGTTAGTGAAAGCTTTGCACACATTTTTCTTACTTAACCCCTTAAAATGCCAGGTTTGTTACATACGAGTGCTTATTATTCAGTAACTACTTCAGTGTGCATACTGGTTATAGAAGTATATAATAAAACTTAAGACCCTGGCCATTTAAGGGGTTAACAAAAAAGAAACTGTGAAAATCAAACATTACAGTATATTTGTAGTCATACCAGCAGTAGACATTATAATCATTTTTGCTACTTGGATATCTTTATTTTAAAAGAACAGTATATAAATATCTGACTGTGAAATTATTTAATATGGTTATGAATGAAAACTAAAAGCCTGGGAGGTTTACCATTAATTTATTGCATGTTGCTAACAGCCTCTACCTGATAATTTGGTTGATTTTAGAGATTTATCTTTGTTTTAAGCTCATGTGATGTAACAGTTGACCTAATTTTAAAAATGTCATCTTTCTGTTTGAAATCTTTTACAAATAGCTCTGCTTAGCTATTGCTGTTTACATTAATATGTAATGTGTAAAATGTATTTTTATGTATTGGATATTTGTGTATGCAAATAATCACACACTTCCCTAATTCATGCTAGCAAGTAAAGAAGTGCAAGTTTAAGTTCAATCTTTTAATAAAAAAATAATAAATAAAAAAACAAACGCTGAACATTTTTTCTGTTCTCCTTGTGTTTCCAGGCTGCACACTCCAGTGCTGGACCCCACTCTGGTAAAGGAGGATTCTGAATCAGTCCCTGAGTCTCCCACTGAGGAGAGCCGCATTGTTATCCTCATTGAAGATGAGGAGGAGGAGCCGACCCCGCCCACTGTGACCCTGCTGGAGGAGGAGGAGCGGGAGGAGGAGGAGAGGAGGCATGAGGAGGAAGCATGGGAGAAAGAAAGCATCTTTTACTGCAGCCATCTCAAGACCTTGTCCTGCCTGGCCAGCCTCCAAGAGCACCTGCACCTCTACTGCTCGGCCGCTTTGGCCCTCCAGCGTCTGCGTCGGGACCGGAACACGCGTGCCAGTGCACACGCTCAAACGCACACATCCCCCACTGTCCCCACTCCAACCCAAACTTCTTCACCATCTTCTGAGAAGCTTCCAGAGGCAGAGCAGCCCACTCAGTCCCCTCAGGATGAGAAGATTGCTCCAACTGATACAGTCCCAGCTCCCCCTCATGTGCCGGAACAGCTGGAGCCCAGTGTGGAACTGTCACCTGATAGCATCTTGCTGGAGCCCAGCCACACCTCCCCCATCCCCCCTCATAGCTTCTCAGACACTTCACTTTCAAGACCCACCCCCACCCAGGATGTCCCGGAGACTCCGCCCCTTACAGGTGAGCCTCAGGATTCCAGACCCCAGCACCTGGAACACGTCCCAGAGAGCAGCAGCAGCTCCCTCAGCCCCAGCTCCACCATCTCCATGCTTACTCCCACCTCTGATCTCCTCAGCTACGTAACAAACAGAGTAGAACTCCCCACGCAAACCAAAGAGCAGCCGCTCCAGCCCCTCCCCACGCACACCCGGCCTGCTGAAATCCCCCCTCCAACTGAACTCCCTACAGCCACCCCTGAGGCTGCAGATCCAAACCGATCTGCGTTGCCTGAGGATCTCCAACATAAAACTGAGGCCGCCGAGGCCCCTCCCCTCACTCCCCAAGAGGAGGAGGTGGAGGACATCCTCCTCAGTGTGCCGGCCAGCCAGAGTGGTGCACAGCGGACGGCTACAGACTTTTATGCCGAGCCCCAGAACTTGTCTGAGCTGAGCCACAGCAACGGCAATGGCAACCCGGTGCACGGCTCCAACCAGAAAGAGTCTGTCTTCATGAGACTCAACAACAGGATCAAGGCCTTAGAGATGAACATGTCCCTCAGCAGCAGATACCTGGAGGAGCTCAGCCAGAGGTATGCATGTTTCATTTTCAGTGCACATAAAATGATTCCTCCAGCAGCCAGTGAAAACTGAAAGCTTGAAAAGGATAAATACAACAAGTAAATAAAGAAAAATAGCAAACACGTATTCACACATGTAATGGAGCTTTTTAATTAATTGAGTTTATGTTGAGTCAATTAACATAAACCTAAAATTGCCATACACTGATCACGTTTCACCTCCTTGACCCTCACCTAAAAGTGTTTTACCTGTTTTTTTTCTTAACCTTGTAAGAGCAAACTGCTTCAAAATCAACAGCAGCAGTAAGCTGCTATACCTCCGAGTAGGTCTGTCACAATTATTACAGAATCGACAAATCACAATTACTTGAGATGATCGCAGTTATTTGTGCTGTCTATGCTCATTTTCCACAGTCATTAGATTTCACAATAATGTGAAGCTTCAACAAACAAAATATGAGTTGGGTGTACTTGGTTGAGACAAATAAATGTAAATGAAAGAAAGCAGTGAATGCATTCCTTGAGATGTCATGAGGCTAATGAGGACAAAAACTAACTGTGAAAACAAAACTGTAGAGGACTGCACTGAGTAATGATTAGTTGTTAGCTATGTAGCTGGCCGTTTATTTATTTATTTATTTATTTATTTATTTATTTATTGTTATTTTCACTCTCTGAAAAATACGGAGTAAATATAGCTGGTCAGTAAGCTAATCAGCCAGTTGGCCATTTTAGGTCTGTATTTTTATACTTGCCAACACTGAGCAAGAAAAGACGATTATATATTATATCATTAGGGGTTATTTACATGACAGTTAATCATCAGCTAAAGTTTCATGATTGTGACAGCCCTACCTCCCAGTTTGTTTGGCTATCTGCGTCTCCTAGTAACGGCAAAGTGGGTGTGCATGCAAGTTTGTGCAAATTTATATCTTTGGGTCAGTTCACCAACAACTTACAAGGTGTGCGGTGTGTGAACCCTGGTCATTTAGTCTGTGATCCTCAATATTTTAGTCACAAAAAACCAGCTGAAATCACACTGCCCTCTTTACTGAGTCATGGTTAAACAAATATACCTTACACCATATTTTTATATGAGCATGTAACAACAGCATAACACACATATTCTCATTTATATGGTCAAACAAATAAAAACCTCCTGCCTTATGCACCTTCATTATCAGTGCAGAATGCATTTCTTAGAGAGAAGCTCTTACAGAGTCATGGATCCTTAAATGGATGCTTCATTCGTGCACATATAAAGTATGCTGCAGCACAGCACACATTACATTCTCCTTTATACATAAACATGGTCTCTCTCATCATAGAAAGATTTATACTGTGACATGTTTGTCTTTAATGTATGACCCGCTGGCTGTATTTATCATTTGTGTTTGACTGGCCTTTATTGCTGTCACTCAGGTACCGTAAGCAGATGGAGGAGATGCAGAGGGCCTTCAATAAGACCATCATTAAACTGCAGAACACCTCCAGGATCGCAGAAGAACAGGTCATTAGCACTACATACGTATACGGATACATACTGACCGCTCAAATGATAAAAAGTTGTATACAGCTGTGCTATCAGATTAAGACAATTGTGTGTGTGTGTGTGTGTGTGTGTGTGTGTGTGTGTATACTCTCTCGCAGGATCAGAAACAAACAGATTCCATCCAGATGTTACAGAGCCAGCTGGAGAACGTCACCAAGCTCATGCTTAACCTGTCTGCTACTGTGAGCCAGTTACAGAAAGAAGTATGTACACACATTCATATACATAGACATTACAGGGCAAAAGTCAGAGACCACTCTTCACTTGCTTCATTTCCAGCCAAAATGCCCATTAAGAACAAGTTATTCATTCTTCAGGACATATTAGATATATGATAATCCACTTGCTTAACGCTGTTGTCGGAAGAAAACCTGGTATCTCTATTGTTGACGTTTTTCAGGTTTTGACATAATATGAAAATATCTGTTGCCCTTTACATTGTGTGTAATTTCATGATGAATGGACCATAAGAAACAGCCCAAAATTACTTGGAAAGTCTGGTTCCATTGACTTACATTAAAAGTAAGTAGGTTTTTCCTTCTCCTGTAAAGTCACCATTTTGGATAAATGAAAGGTTTTCTTCTGACAACAGCGATAAGTAAGACAAAAAGTCAAAGGAAAAGAAGGAGCGGGATAAAGAAGCTGCGGTGTTCTCAGGACAGTGGACTGACCACTGCAGAGTCCAGACCTCAATACCATTGCATGTGTTGGGAATTACTTGGATTGTGAAAAGCAGAAAATGCAACCAACTTCTAAGATTGAACTTGAGAGGTGTGGAAAAGGAACATTGTACTTATTAGCCATTTTTCCACCAGTCTGGGTATTCAGTAAATACAAGGTGATACCTGACTTTTTCACAGTACTGTACATCACTAAACCTTCCTCAGCTCATGCTTACTCCGTTTGGCATTATTAGTTTACACATGACAAAGCTGTTATTAAAGGACATGTATATAAGTGTAATTGTGTTGCAGGTGTCAGACAGACAGAGTTACCTGGTGGTGTCTCTGGTGTTGTGTCTGGCTCTGGGCTTGCTGCTGTGTACGCAGTGCTGCCGCAGCTCCTCTAATCACAACCGAAGCTCAGCCATCCCTGTGAGCAACCACTACCCCAGCCCCAAGAGGTACAGCATCCAGATTACAATATATTACATTACACCTGCACTCTCACACAGGGAGAAAGCAATTTACCATCATCTTTCTTACAGTCATCCTCCTTACACTCAAGCAGTGACCTGTTTGACCTTTTTCTTCTCCTTTTTTCTCTTCATTCATTCTTTTTTCCATTTTTTTCTTCTCTTCTTTTCCTTTTTTCACTTCTTTCTTTCTTTTTCTTTCTTTCTTTCTTTCTTTCTCATTTTTTCTCATTCTTTCTCTCCATTAATCCTTCTTTGTTCTCTTTCCTTTTTTCCACACTTCTTTCTTTCTCTTAATATATTTTTTCTCTTCATTAATTCCTCCTTCCGTTTTTCTTTGTATTCATTTTTCCTTTCTTTCCTTTAACTTTACCTTTCCTTTGCTCTCTTTCTCAGGTGTTTCTCATCATATGATGATATGAGTTTGAAGCGGAGAGTTTCATGCCCTCTCATGCGCTCCAAGTCTTTTCAGCTGCCTACCTCAGAAGGTAAGAGTCTTCATGAAGAATCCTGTAACCAAAAGTCAAGGATCTCTCTCTCACTCTAACATACATCATGCCACCCAGGTCCTTCCATGTCACATATCTCCAGTCAGTTGATTCACACCATGTTCCTTCATAATTATCAGTGCAACATCAGTATCTACTAACACAGTGATACGTGATATATATGTGTGTATATATATTGTGTGCTTCCATTTTTGTGCGCTCTGCAGATGAACCAGCTTCTTAGGTCTCAGTGCAGAATAGATCTCTATGTTGGCCCAGTCATTTTGCAGTGAGACTGTCATATGGCTTTGCCCCATTCCATAAGAGCATGATCAAACGGTTCTGTTGACATCAGAGGCAGATGTGCCTCCCTCACTGTCTGCTTTATAGAGCCACAGAACAAATGAGATGTTAATAAGTAGCCAGGGCACATTGAACACAACTTTTAATGTCAAACATACCACCAGACCATCTTTCTCTCTCCTTTTCTTTATGATTACTCACACTTTGCTGTGTGTTGAGAGTGCTCTGGTGTGTGTGTGTTTGTGTGTGTGTGTGCCCTTGGGGTTTGCGAGCTTGTCACTACCAGTTTATGTTCATGAAGCAAAGGATTTGTATTTTTGTTTTTTAAAGCTTTTGGCTGGCTCATATTCAAACGTTTGCAAGTAGTAACAACTGCGCAACAGTAACAGTACCTTTTTAAAACGTACGCATTTCCACAAGCCTCAAAATCTCCCTCTAACTCTGCCATGTTTTCCATAGGCAGTATGTTAATTACCTAGTTCTGTGTTTTCTTGCTGTTTGTTTTTACATTGAGAATGTTTTACTACTTGCAAGTGCGCTCATGCTTGTATGTATTCATGGTTGCCATACCATTCCTTTAACCTGGCCCCCTCTCTCCCCTCTTTAGTAGGTCCTGATGACTTGTACATTGTAGAACCTCTAAGGTTTTCTCCAGAGAAAAAGGTACAGTGTTCGTTTTGCCTGCCGTGGTGGGCTACTGTGTGCACATGACCATAGTGAGGCGAGGGGCTGAGTTCCAAACCACTCACTTGGCCACTTTTTTAGCTCTTAGTTTGATTGAATCCTAATGAGGGTTAATTTAAATGAAACGGAACAAAGGCCTGATTTAAGACTACATACTAAGAAATAGCCAAGTGAACCACAAGAAGAGAGCAGGGTGTGATGTTGAACACACTGTAGCTTTATTTAGTGTATGCACCTGGATAGGGCATAGTGAGTGTTTTGGAACACAGCCCCAGCTGTTAGTGTTTCGTACTGGCCTGAAGTGAACCTCTTCTCTGCCGACTGATGTTTAAAAACCGTGAAAATTTAAAAGGCGGTGTGATCACATTATTCAGCAGGGCTAGGTCTTGCTAGTAGCTTCTCCTTCTATTTTTCCTTTATGTCCTGGCCCTCATTTGTGTCATCCATTTCTGGTAATTCAGTGTTAGTGCAGTTGTAATGTGTGTTTTTTCTTCTTCATCTTCTTTTTTGGCTTAAATTGATGGTTTTGCCAGAAACCAATTTTGCACAATTTTGCTCTTACCCCAAATTATTTGATTAGCCAAGACATGTTTGGTTCTTTAAATAATCACATACTTGCATCGAACCACATTAAGTAATATGGAAAAAGGTTTGCTCCTGGTTTCTGACACTATAAGGCTGTTTACACCTTTAATTAAACAAATATAAATAGCCAAATAATGCTGTAGCTATGACAGCTTTACGACAATCAGCCTATCAAGCCTTAGTCACTTGTTTAGCCACCATAAAGCAGCCCTTTTTACGCTTAAAATCTGGGACATTACCAGGTTACTTTTCTCTGTAATGTTTGGGCTTTGTGTAATTCACGCCTGCGGCCCTTATAGAGTATTTTACGTGCTCATACTTGCTATGAAATTCCCAGTAAACAGGACTTTACGTTCTCAGCATGAACAACTGAGTTCTTTAATTTCTGAATCAACTACAAAAATAGACTCCCACAACTTCTTCCTCCCACAGAAACTGAACACTCAACCATAAAAGCAAAGGTGTCACACAAATGTTATGCTTTACTCGCGTCACTTTTCCGCAGAAGCAGACACTCAGGGTAGAGTTTTGCTGCTTCTAGAATTGTGAACAAAATACAAAAAAAAAGTTCAATTGTTGAACTAAATAATCTGAAAATCTAATCTAGACGTCACTGTACTTCCTGATAATCTACCGTCCTGGCAAGTAGTCAGGTATAGTTTGTGATTAAGGTTGCTTTGGTAATTCTATTTTCTGTCGCTGTGGTGTTTAGAGGGCTAATGTGTTGCATGTTTGGATCCTACCTGGATTTACTTTGACCAGCACCCTCCCAGCACTGCATAGTTGTGTTTTCCTTGCTTTAACACATAATTTAGCTCAAGAAGGGGTTTATCAGTAGCATATAGGATATGAATCTGGTATGTCAGAGCAGGAAAAGCACAGAACTGGAGTTGGAAACATTTAATCTAGATCATGAACAAAAGTATGTCACAGGTAAAAATAGTAGTAGCAGCCATCCTGAAACCTGAAGTTTGTCTGTACATTTGTCTAAAAGCAAGAGAGATTATATATATATTTTGTATTTGAGGTTATATAATTACTCTGTGTGGTTTGAAGAAAATTTGTGAAGATTTAAGCATGCAGCTTGTCTGATGTGAACTAGTGGCTAAGCTCTCTATTAATTGTCAGCTATGTGAGCCTCAAAGTTCCAGTCAAAAACTAAAGAAACAAGCTTCAGATAACCAAAGATGTCATGGCTAATATGTTTTGGCGAAGGGAAAAAATGTGAAAATTTGATTCCTGGTTGAACAGTCATTTAATATTGTTGGTTATATGCATATTGTCAAGTGATTCATGCTGAAGTGTTGTAGATAGTGTATTTTAATTTAAACTTGTTGTGTATTCGTCCTCTCCACACTCACTCGGCATAAAGGTGGTTCCTCTGGCTGTTGATGGTTTTATATAAGCTGCTTTCTGACTGCACACAAATGAATTTGCTTTTCTTTATTTCTTTCTGTGATTCTGCTCGCAGAAGAAACGCTGCAAAACGAAAGGTGGAGAGAAGGCAGAGACTCTGAGGGCCTCCGTTGCCGAAGAGATGATTGCTAACGGCGGCCCTAAGAATGACAGCGTCAGTGTGCCACACTTCCTGCCATCGACCTGTGATGGCAACACGTCCACCTGCTCATCCAGAGATGGTGTGTCTGAGGGCAGCTCTGAAGGCTCCTCCTCCACCTCCTCCTCCTCCTCCTCTTCCTCGTCCACAGCATCGGATGAGTCCTGCTGCAGCGTGCAGTGCAACGGTCAGCTTTCGTCGAGTGTGCCGCCAGCCAAAAACAGGGAGGAGAAAAGGTCGTTTAAGCGCCGGCGCTCCAAGATTGGTGAACAGCAGCAGCAAAAGCAGCAGCTGCCACCTCAGCCACATAGGCGATATGGGGCGGGGCTTCTACATACCCCCATTCCCGTGGCAACGGGTGTCATGCCAACGCTACAAGAGCTGATGAAGGGGAAACAGGAACTAGGCGTGGGGGCGTTCGGAGTGACTGCAGCTGTGACTGGCCGCGTCTGAGTTTAAAGACCACCCCTCCATCAGCACTGTATCACACAATTAAGTCACACACCTGTACAGATGGACAAAGGGACACGTCACTCCTGTGCTGCATCACCTCTTTTTTTGCGTCAACAAGGAGGAAGGCGTGGATTTAGTCCTGTTCTATAGTGTTCTCTCTCTCTCTCTCTCTGTCTCTCTCTCTGTCTCTCTCTCTGTCTCTCTGTCTCTATCTAACCATTCACAGAGCCAGACTCTGCCAGATATGTTCAAGCACAGAGTGGAACAAGGACTCCATGACAACAGTAATCACCCCCCACGTATTTTCCCTTTCATTCTGAGATCCTCTCCTCTTTTATGTGCCTTTATTTGTCCGTTATTGAACTCTCACAAAGAGGTGATCAGTCCACAGATAGAGGTGAAGGGTCCTTTTTCATTTTCTTTCATTTTTGGAGAGAAATACAATTTATTTCCGGGGGGGGTTACAAAGAAGACTAACTTTTGAATAGTATGAATGGGACTGTTTTTGTTTGTTTCTCTGTTTGTTGTACTTTCCCTCTCCTTTCTTGTCAAGTGGACCAGTACATGACTTCATCACTAGATATCATTTGTTCTTGCTCATGGCCAGGATGATGAAAGGGAGGTTCCATGGAGGACAGCAGTGACCATCAAGACCAACCTCCCTCTCTTTCTGACACACTACCACAGGCCTCAGGTCCCTGCCTGCTGTCTCTTTCCCCGCCAGGCCCCTCCTACTGCCACTCTCACTCTCGTATTGTTCAGATATGGTCAGTGTTTGCTACATTCTCTTGTGTTTCTAGTTGAGAAACAGGTTTATTTTCACTAACATGCTCTTTCTCTTCTTCCTCTGTCTGTTCTGCTTGGGCGTATGTGTAACTCCAGCTCTTTCATTGTTCCTGGTGTTTTTTTTGGTGGGACCAGTGTTTTACTCAGTATCATTGTAGCCCAGGGCTGTCCAGCACTTTACCATGCTTCAGTCCAGTGAACTGAATGAGCAGAACTGAATGAAGAACAGATCCATTTCTATTTCTTTTGTTTCTTTTCGCTATTGTGTCTGACAGGACCCTGTTAAAACTCCTCTCGTGTTTTGACATGACAATTATTCATGATGATGATGGTGATGATCATTATCATCATCATAAGTTCAGGCAGGGCCTGAACTCAACAGCAGAGACAACACATACAACATAAGTCATTCAGATTCATTCCCTTTTTATGGCCTTTTGACTCCAGCTTTTTCAAACATGTTTACTGTTTACTCTTTGTTTACTACATGAGCCAACATTGGAGGGAGTTGTTTATGCCAAATGGCCAGTCTGAAACACCTACATACATGTATTTCATATATATATATATATATATATATATATATATATATATATGCACAGAAACACACACTCTGGCGCACCACCCATGGGGATTCTACAGTGGACACTGCGTTTGCTGTTTTATTTATCTATTTATTTATTTAAATGTCACTTTTGACTTGGGCTGTTCTGAGTTCAAGATCCTTGGTCAAGCAGGGTGTTCCCTTCCAGTGTCCCTGTAGTGTGTTCACAATATTTATTGAAGAATGCACACTTTGCACACATACGTCTCCATAGAATCTACCCATGGAATATGCAATGGTACAGATGCCCTAAAATGCTTTCTTGTTTTTGTCCTTTTTAATTACATTTCTGTTTTATCGAGTACAGAGAAAGCTGGAGTCTGAGCGCCAGCCAAAACCCTCCTCAGATTCCATTACATAGATCAACAGTTTTCATTTTATCTTTCAAATTACCTTTAATTTTTTCATTCTTTCTAATATTAGAAGCCAGACGTCAGACATTGGTTAAAGAAAGTGCGTCTGCTTCTGTCTGAGGTTTAAAAAGAAAAGGAAGATCTTTCCATTTCTGTCGATGGGTCTGTTCTGACGAGTTCATGTCTGATTGGTAGTAATTTAAAAAGAATACTGGAGCTCTGCTTAACTGTGTGTTTGTTCAAGTGTCTGTCACATTTCTAATTTGCCTGCTTTCATTGAGTGATACCTCCTTTCAACACACGTATCTCTCTCCCATTCCTATGTACGCCCGTGTAAATGAAGCTTTCTTCTCACCTCACCCTCACTGGCATTGTACCTGCTGCTGTATCTCTCCTGTTCTCTCTCTTTCACTCTCATGTATATTAATATATGTATGTGTATGTATGTCTGCACTCACTGGACCACTTTACTTCTCACTGTAGTTTTATTCTGTTGGACGAACTGTTTAAACGTAGCATGATTTTAGCCAACTGGTCATTGTGTCGCAATTTCATCCGCTCATCCTTTCTCCTCTGAAAAGAACAGTAAGCTCTCTCTAAGGATAAAAAATGTGAATTCCTGATTTGGGGGGTATTAAAGGGAACAGATTAGAATGGTTCTTAGAGTTATTCCACATTCGGGGAGGTGGGGGGGATTAATGCTCTTTATGCATCTCTATCATGATCTCTTTCTACTTTTTTTTTTCTTTTTTTGAATGCGTATGATAACATGTTTGTGTAATTTGTGTTTTGTGTACGTACGGATGTTGTTTTGAACAGTGTGGAAGAAAAAGAAGAATATTTGGAGATTAACCTGTCCTATAATCCGGTGGTCAGAGACCTGTGTCTGTATGTGATGCAGGCCCTCTCTCAGCACTTTGGAATACTCCTCATGCCTTTTGTTGTTTTGATTTCTACACTAGACTTTGTTCAAGTGCTTCTTCTCCCCCATGCTTTTCTTCACTCTGGCGCCCTCTAGTGGCTAGATGCTCCCGTGTTAAATTGGCCACTAGATGGCGCCAAACATACACCAGATGATCTGAGGAAGAGCTGCACAGTATTTTTTTTTTTTTATTCGGAACAGGAGTAACTGTAACTACAGAGATGTAGTGCCAATAGAAACTGTGAATTTCTAAATAAAAACACTTTGTCTTTGATAACTGTGTCCTTAGCTGCATTGCTTTGGCTTCACTAAATAGGGTCTGACATTGTGGGCAAGACATACAGGGTAGCTTAAAAATAATGGGGGAGCACATAAGAGTTGAATGGGAGTACCTGCAGAATAAGTAATCTAACTAAAAAGCACATTATTTGATAAAGGGTGATACAGCAAAGAATATATAATGGCATTTGAAGTTAAGAAAATGAATACTATAAAGTTAAATAGGACTAATTATGCTCTCCATGTAATGAAATGACTGGATCTGATGCTGTCTACGATATGCTCAGAAAACCATGTTGTGATACAATTCATAATGATATATTTCACACCTCTTTAATACTCCATTAAAGCAGTGGTTAGGCAAAAAAAAGGAAAAATGCACAATTTTCTCCCTGAGTGGACGGGTCAGTATGTTTGACGTATTAAACTTTTTAGTTTTGCTCTTGAGCTACAAGGCCAACCATTAGTGGAAGTTTCCTTTCAACCAATGAGCACTTAGCAAACTGAATTCCTGAGTCATCACACACTTAAGTAATCACAAATACACTTGCTGATGCAGTGTCTGTAACTGTATGATATACTATATAACAATGGACACAAGTACGTTAAATATTCAATAGGCTTCAGTTTAGCTGCTACCACTATGCTAGCTATGAAATGTAATTTTGTCCATTTGTACAATGTTCATGTGGTCTGCATATATATATATATATATATATATATATATATATATATATATATATATGCGTATATTTGTTTGTATAGCACTGGTTAGCTACATTATCTCCTGTTCATGCCTTGACATCATTTGGGATAAGAGGAAAATATTTCACTGTATTACTGGGCAGTGGCAGCTGTCATCCTGGACACTTGATCACAGGGCCATGTAGTCTTAAGTGTGCATCAGTAGATAGTTTAGTTATTATTTTTTAGTATTATGATGAACATTGTGAAAGGTTGATGAGGTTAGAAATAATTTGACTTGGCTTGGTGGTTGATTTTCCTTAAAGACAGCCAAGCAAGGAAGGAACCCGCTTCTACTTTCATTCACACACCGAAAAAACTTTTTCACAGTAGTTCTGTTTTATTTTAGCTAGTTTTGCAGTGCACATTATAGTTTTGATTGTTTTCGTGATTTTGAAAACAGTCGTTTTTAAATGTATTAAAGTTAATAAGCATATTTTTTCGCTGCTGGTTTCTGTTTTAGTTACCTATAATAACCTGCCCAGGATCTTCCCATCGCTCGCTCTACTAGGGCTTCTCTACTGATCTTGTTCTCCTTGGTGTACTAGGTGTTAGTGTTCTTGTATCATGGTGACCTAAAAGGGGTGTACAAGCTATTCTTTGCTACATTAGATGGACAGGGGCACCTTTTTCTATTGTTTTCAATGAGTACATTGCGAATAACACCTGAATAGCAGCAAACATCGTTTCAGAGGAGATATAATATTGGAAAATCTCTCTTCCAAAAAAGTGAGCTTTTGCTTTGTGGACAGAGCCATAAAAGAGCCACAACTCTAGGTTCAGCTCAGCTTTTCTGATGTATTTGCAGTAGGAGTTGAATATCTGCGCGCCGGGTGACAGGCAGCAGAAGCGGCCACTTTGCGGCTACTTTTATTAGCGACCGCAATTGAGCAGCCACATCGCAGCCACTTTTATTAGCGGCCAGCACATTGCGGCCACTTTTATTAGCGGCCAGCACATTGCGGCCACTTTTATTAGCGGCCTGCACATTGCAGCCACTTTTATTAGCGGCCGCCACATCGCGGCCACTTTTATTAGCGGCCGCCACATCGCGGCCACATTGCGACCACTTTTATTAGCGACCGCTTTGCACCTGACACATTTATTAGCCACTTCTCCTGGGGCATATTTCAGGTCATCTGCACAGCTACGATGAGAAGTCACATGAGCCACCACTGTCTAAAGGGGTTTGCCATGGGCTGTAGGTTTGTGGCGCTAAGTGTTTGGGGATTAGGAAATGAGGAATTACTGGAACCTCTACATTCCTACCAGCATTGCAGGCTATAACACTTTTTTACAAAGTAAATAGGAAAAAAATGTCTGAGTTAATATGAACCCATCACACATGAATTTATCTAGCCTCACTAAAACACTGTAGTTATGTTAGCTGTGTTATTTTGGTTTTGTACAGAGAATATTTAGTGATGTGGCAGTTTAAATTTACTTCATCCTGTGATGGTTGCTTGGTTTTCCATCGTTTCATTTGACTCATCAGTGAATTATCCAGCACTATATTATTTTTATTTTTTGAAGTGCTTCTGCTTTTTTTCAGGTGCATTTGTTCGGTCCTGTTCAGCGAACAGCGCTGCTACCTGAGAAGGTCGGTAGGTTGGTTTTGGGGGGACCAAAGTCAGAAGTCCCATTCTCAAAAGGCTGAAACTGAGAATGAAGTGAGAGATTTAAAGGCATGAAAAAATACACGATACCTGTAAAAAGACGTCGTAAAGAAATGTTGAATTTGCGTCATAGTTCTTAAACTTTAAATATAAAATAATATAGTAAATATTAACTATATAGAATTGTATTGAGTAATTGACAAATGAATAAATCCAAAAATATAAACAAGAAAAAAGTAAAAAAAAAAAAATTTTAAAGTAAAAAATATAGTCATAGATAGAATTAACATGATGTAATTCGTGTTCTTTATTTAATTGACACTAACAAACATAATTTAACTTAATAAGTGTTAAATATTTGTAAACATTGTCTTAATGATGTTGATGTTCATGGTTTATTAATGTTAATAAATGTAGTAATTAATTTTCACCAAAGCATTACCAAAACAATTACAGCAAAAGAAGAAAAAAGTAGGAAAGGAAACGCAAAAAAACTTGGACTCTTAATTTATAAGACAAGGATGGCAAGCAAGCGTCTAAATGATGAAATGTTCATTACACAATTAAATATTTAATGTTGTAATGTCCACAGTAAAGCTGAACTGCTCTCCCTGATTTTTCCATGCATATTCTAAATATGTCCTTTATTATTATTTAAATACAAAGTACCCATTGATTTGCAATAAGCCTACAAAACAGAATATCAATACAAGGTTTAATTATCCTTGCCTGTCAAGTTTAACTAAATGTGTGGTCTAGTTCAGCTTACCTTAAATAGAGTGGAGTAGTGTTAAACAGAAGCAGACATCCTATCAGGGAGTTACAGCAATATTAAATTTAGTCTCCCATAAGGAGAAAATATATATTTCAAGCATATTTATAAAATATGTTTTACAACGCTTGAAAATGGTCAAAATGTATTTCCTAAATATATATTTAAAATGTATTTATTTGGATTTGTTATTATGTTTTACAATTGTACGTAATTCTAATAAAGGTTAAAGATGTAACTAAATATACATTAACTGGATAAATGATACTGACTTGTTTTGCATTGTACTCACACAAAATGTATGCCAAAAAAAAACAAGATATCAAATCGGCAAACTAAATTTTCCCAGTGTGTCAATATCTACAACACTTGATTTTGTCCTGTTAAATGTCCGTTTACCAACATTTACCATTAAGATACTGGAGTACAAATTCACTTCAAAAGGTTTCCAAACAGTAAAGTGCATTAGACAAAGTATTTTGGCAATTTTCATACATTTTCAAGTGTAATAAATAAATTTACATGCATGTATTTTTGTAAAGTACATTTCTATGTGTAATATTTCCCCATAACTTTTAACATAAGTGCATTTTAAAATGTATTTACTAATGTTATTAACATGGCAATGTATTCTGAAATGCATTTTATGTTTGGAATGTATTTTGGCGTGGATTGCAATTAATTTGAAATGTAAACTTTAAAGTGACGGAGCAGCGGCAGTGAAGTGACGGTCGCTAATAAAAGTGGCCGCGATGTGGCAGCTGCTAACAAAAGTAACCACGATATGGTGGCTGCTGATAGAACTGGCCGCGATGTGGCCTCCGCCAATTAAAAGTGGCCGCGACGTGGCGGCCACTGATAAAAGTGACCGCAATGTGGCGGCCGCTAATAAACGTAACAGCGATGTGGAGGCCGCTGATGAAAGTGGCCACGATTTGGCGGCCGCTAATAAAAGTGGCTGCGATGTGGCGGCCGCTAATAAAATATTGCTGTAACTCCCTGATAGGATGTCTGCTTCTGTTTAACACTACTCCACTCTATTTAAGGTAAGCTGAACTAGACCACACATTTAGTTAAACTTGACAGGCAAGGATAATCAAACGTTGTATTGATATTCTGTTTTGTAGGCTTATTGCAAATCAATGTATATTTTGTTTTTCAATAATAATAAAGGACAAACATAAAATATGTATGGAAATGACAGGGAAAGCAGTTTAATTGTGTAATGAACACTTCATCTTCTAGATGCTTGCCATCCTTTAATAACATTTAGCTGCAGCCTAAACACTCACTGGCCACTTTATTAGCTCCACTTACCATATATGTCCACATCTCTTTCACATACAGTAATGTAATTGTGAGCAGGGTTACACATCACATGCTCTCCAGCTCAACTGTGGAGAGCGACTGGAAATAATATGCATATTTATCTATCCAATATATCAGTTAGGAGAAATTATAAATTTGGAAGAAAAAAATATTCTGTTGAAGCCCACCATTTCATGATTTCAAACCATTTAAACTCTGGGTTGTGGCTGCAGGACTTTCCTGGTGCTCCAGATGCAGTTTGGAGTCTTCAAGAGGCTTTTATCCTGGATGTTAATTTTTTATTATTAAATAATATCAAGGTAGGATATTGTCATAATCTGGTCCCATTAAATAATCTCCATCTTTCTTTCAAGCACACAATCCTTTTTTTATCCTCAGAATGTGCACTACTTTCTACTCCTCTTCTTTCGTCCACTCTTCGCTCAGTCCTGACTAATCAGTCCTCTCTGTCAGCCTCTGTTAGTCTTTACAGCTCCTTTATTTGCTGCTTTCTTCAGTGTTTCAGCTGAACTGAATCTAAGCAGTGCAGAGGGA